TCCCCCTTCCTGAGTCCCTTGGTGCTGATTATTTCATGGACAGGGCATAGTAGTTATCCTCAAAGGAGAACTTAGGCTGAGCCTCTTTCTCTAGTTGGCTTGCCAGAGTTCCTGATCTGGACCTGTAGGTGCCCCTTACTCTGGCTCCTTTCAGTCCTTTGGCATTTTCTCTTACTCTCTCTTCACGTGCCCCCGCCATTGCCTACAATGCTCCCCTTCCTCTGTTCAGTTGTTCAAAACTCATCCCATCCGTCAAGGATCATCTCAAATGCATCCGTATCTTCCCTTCCACCACAAGCAGGAAAAAATTTTCCAAGTGGTCTTTGCTATCTCCAGGTCTGCATAGTCAGTAAGAACATTTCAAAATTCTATCAACTCCAAAGTCAAAAGGAAAAGGTAGACTTATTTGTGAGGTAGGGCCTCTCTGCCCTTAATATCAACAATCCTTCACTCTGTGTATTGGTACAGCTGCTAGGAGCGATCATTTGCCTGCATCTACACAATATGGTGTATGAATACTGCCAGATTAACTGAGCTGTGTGCAAGCTCCATAATAAAGATTTTCTTCTTGCTTTGTTTGTGCAAATATTTGAACACCTTGTAAATGTATCGTTAGTTGGGAAGGCTGTCTTTCACTTTTTTAAATAAAAATTAACACTCAACTCCTATTGGGTAATATCAAGCTGGACAAGCAAAATGCATTACTATTTGGGGTAAAGAAGAATTTTCTCACCACTGTGCAATTAAAGCAGAATAAACGGGGGAAAAGCTCTTGCTGTAGAAGCTTATAAGACTGTAGCTTTCTTCCTTAGCCCTGAGTTCAAGTGTCGGAGTTTGTTAAATTTGCCTGTCATGTCTCTCTGTCTCTATTATCTGAGTGTCCCTTTCTCACACACATCTAGTCAAAATGATCTAATAAAAAATTACACACATCTACATTTGTAAAAAGATGTGCATGTGCATCTCCCATAATATTGCATAATGCATGTCTTTCTGCACTTAAGATTTTATTTGTTTCAGGTATTTGTATGTTCCTTTCTACATGCACCTAAGCATCTTAAGGGTAGAAGTTGTGTCTCCTTTATTTGTGTGCCCATGGAGGGCCTAGCACAGTGCCTTGTATAGGAGTGTCCAGTCAGTGGTAGAATGCATAAAGGACAGAATCAGCATGTATGTGTTAGTATGTATCCACACATTGGCTATTTGCACAGTTATGTGATGTAGCAGTGAAAAGCCATGGAAAAGCCAACATTGAGTGGGGCAGAACTCTCTCCAGGTTAACACCAACATAAACCACTGAGGAGAATAATTAAAGAAACAAATAAGGACCCAAACACATTGACCCTCAGTTCTCTATAGTATGCATAATTGCATGTTAGAGAAGCACATGTTGATAATTATTAAGTGCCTTTTTTTTTCTTTAAAGATTTTTGGATACCACAAGCTCCTGAGTATCAGGCAGGTGGCTGTTAGTATTTAAGTGATCTTTACTGATTCTTATTTCCTAAAAAACACATGATAGACTAAGGAGGTTCTGTAACCAATCAGTGGCCTGTAACACCCCAAATACTCTTTCATTTAAAATAGGTCTGTTAACGAGGATCTGATTGCTCCTGCGAGATGTGTGGATTGTTCCAGAAATCAATCACTCTATTCAACTAAGAACCTGAGTTAATTTGGCCCTTTAACCACCTCATTCTTTGTGTGCTGAATTGATGGTAGAGGAGGCATCAAATAAGCTATCCAAAGCCCGTTACACTAAAACCAAGAACAACAAAGTGAAAATTAGTTATTTTAATTTTTTAACATAAATGAAAAGTTTCTAATAAATTTGGTTAAATAAGTTTGAATTGCTGGTGACATAATTTTCTTTGTTATACACATTAGAGGAAGATCAGTTTCTTTGTTTTATTCAGCATTAGAGAAAACACTCCTTTGCTAATCAAGAAAAGGGAAAATTAGGACAGATGCCACCTTTTCAACTACCAATCTCTTTCAGGATAGTGAGAACAGCCTAGGACTCCAGAGTCTTTGTGCTGCTACTAATTATCAGTATAATTTAGGACAAGCCTTCTACCCTTGGACCTTGATCACTTATTAATAGATAAAGAAGTTGGGCCCTTCCAGCTCTGAGTGTCTGTGACTCTGTGAGACATCTTTGCATTAATTGCTCTATAAAATGTCATTTTGGAGTGATAACTAATAGGGAGGTAAAAGCAATACACTTTTAGGGGGTATTCCTTTGAGTATACTCCCAGGGTAGAAGAGTGCCTTAGCTAGTAGAATTGTGCTGTCCACTACAGAGTAAAATAAGCACCACATTTCAAAGACTTAGTATGAATACAATAAGCTATTTCATTATTTTTATATTGATTACATATAGAAATGATAACATTTTGAATCTGTTTGATTATATAAAATATGTTATAAAAATTAATTTTTCTGTTACTTTCCTTTTTTGTGTGTTATCTAGAAATTTTAAAATGAAATCCATGGCTTCTATGACATTTTTATTGGACAATCCTGGTCTGGAGGGTTACTCCTACTGCATGTAACCTCAGTTCCAGTTACTCAGAAACCTCCCAAGGTTGAAACCACACAAACTAGTGGCACTTATCCTTGAATGCACGCTGGAATCACACTGGTATCTTTTAACAAATACCAATTCCCTCTTCCCTATGATTCTAATTCAACTGACTTATAGTGACCATTTTTCTATGCTCTGAATTTCCTCTATAAGGCCGTGGGTGGCGTAATCATAAAGAAATAAGACTCTGTTACATGAATTCCAGAGACACATGTAAGCCCAAGTTGGACAACTGGCGGGTAAATGGGGGAATGCAACTCTGAAACAGGCTTAGCCCTGACTTTTAACCAGTCTCGAGAGCAGAAGGGCCTTCTCCCTAGCTCTTCAGTTCTTAAAAATCAAGCAAACAGAGAGGAAACAGAAACTTGAATTAATTATGTCTTAGCTGTTGCTTCTTATTTGAGTTTCTGAAAATCAGCTTACCGCATTCCATCTGGCCTCCCAGTGAGATAGTTGGCATTGCTTGATCTGTTTTCAGAGGGGAAAATGGGGCTCAAGGAATGTGATCATCTCCTTGGTTAAGAGAATTTCTTCCACTAGATTTTTGTTGTTTCATTTCTTTTTTTTTTAAAGTGTTTTTTAAGTGTTGTTTTGACTCCTAATGGAACTAAAAAAGGGAATGTAGACAATATGGTTTGATTGGAATTAGACTGACTCTAAAATGGAGCAAGCGGCCATCAATTTCATGTTGGTTCTTCATAGGATAGGCTGTGTTTTTTAGCTTCACCCTCATATTTTGGGAGTCACCCTCTCTGAAGTGTGCCATCCCCATGTGCTCACTTGACCTACTGTTACTTGTGGTTGGGCACTAGCATGGGGCTCATGTAAGGTAAGAAGGGAAGCTGCCCCCTTCCTCTCCTGATAGTCCTCTTGGTTCTCACAGCTGTAGGTACTTGCCCAACCTCTGTGGATAACTAAAACTGGAGTCCTGGTAATGAATTTGGAACAGATTTTCAAAGTAACTAAAACCCTTGGCTTTTAAACCAGGCTCTACTGAATTGTATCTTGGGGTGCTGGTAAGTCACAGAACTTCCTGACTTTAGAGGTGCTTGAAAAAGAGGTGCTGAGTTACTGTGATCATGAATGTCCAGCTTTCGTGCCACCTTTGGTGGTGGTAATATCTTGTCTAGACAGTGGAGAGTTAATAAATGTTCTAGTAAATAATCCTATGTGTCCTCAGTGCCCTGAGGCTTTACAAATTCTCTGCCTAAGATTTTTTTTTTATCAAATACCACTTTCCTGTGTTAAAGATTAAGTTAAAGGTGTCTATGTTGTCTGAGTTATTTTGGAATGGCTTGGCCACTTCCTAGTTGTTTGGCCTTGGGCGTATTACTTCTCTAAGCTCCACAGGTAAAATAGGAATCATAATACTACTTACTGCATATTCTTATTGTGAGGATTTCACCAGTCTCTACATATTTCTCACACCTTGCACAGTGATGTCCCCAGAACAGAAGCAGAGGAAAGGTTTATGGAATGAATAGATGAATGAATTCATGAATATTAATACTGCTGTGAAAGTACATGCTTATAGACTGATCCTCTCTTTGAATCAGTCTGAAAGTACCAGAGTTTAGTCTGGGAGCTCATTGTCAAAGCCTAGTCAGTTTCTCTTTCAAATATTTACACTCAGCATATCTCCATTTCCCTGGCATTTTTATAAAATAGATGGAAACTTAGTGAAAGCACATTCTACCAATTGCCTTTGAGTGTCACATTGGCCACAGTACATGTTATATTTTGCAGAGATAAAGACATTTTAGGGGATAAGATTGTCCTCAAATGTGAACAATGATAAATACAGGTAAGTTATAGTTGAATATAAGTAAATATTACTAAATAAGGATTCATTAAAATGGACAAATATGTCTTAGACTGGTCATTATATATTATGGAAACCTGTATATTTAAGTACTTGAAGAGAAAAGTAGAATTCTCTGAACTATTGACATAACCTCTCCCCCACCACCAGATTGAAAAAATGGGTAACTAGGGCCCAAGTTTTTCTTTTTAATAGCAGTTCTCAGAGGATAGTAATATTAACTGAACAAAGAGACATTACATGGAGCCATGGATTTAGATTATTTTTTGTGCAAGGTGAAATTTGAAAAGATAACATCACCCCTTGTTATTCAAGACAGATTTTCTGAAAGTCCATTATCATACTATGTCATAACCTAATCACATTTGAATGAAACTTTGGAGAGCATGAAATCAGAAACCTCTTGTATTTACAGGTAATTGTAGTTACAGTGAATAAAAATGACATGCTTTGAAGTTAGGTCAAGTGTAGAGAGATTCAACCTTGGCATGATTCAACGGAATCCCAATTATAAAGCCCAATCACCTCCACAGCTTCATTTTATTATTTTTTAATCTTATGAATTATTTTCTTTTGGCATCTTCATTATAGGAGCTCTATGGAATGGGGGAAGAGAACAAAGAATAATAGGACCTTTCACATGTGTGAGGACAAAGTGAAAAAGAGAAAAACAAGTGCAACAAGAATAAGGGAAGCTGGATGTACAGCTGTCCCAGAAGGTGCCATGGTGAGCTGGCTCACAAAATCAGTTGGGGCTGTACCCTAACCCCTGTGCCTGGGCAAACATAAGGAAATGCACATTCACAATGTCATTGCTTTATTTTCAATTTAGTTAACAGCTTTCAAATCAACATGGTGTTTTATAGCAATTAACTGTAATTACAAACCTTAAAAACACTTTTTATGGATAATTACTTTCCTAATTCTTGTTCCATCGTTTTCATTTAATTGTAAAAGAATTTAACGGTGCCATTTTGACAAGTGCTTAGTGTTTTTAAAACTGATTGTGAATATTCTATCACTTAAATATTTCACATATTTTTACAAACTTTTCCCCAATCTCAAATGTTTATTTTAAATGTTTGCAGTGACTCCCCCTCTGCAGTTTGGTCAAACCCTAACTCTCACACCCATGATTGCTTGGAAGGGACTGTCTTGTCACCACTGCCAGGGAAAAATGTTTCTGACAATAGAACGACAGAGAAGAATTCATTCCATATTTTCTGATGGTGATTGGCTGCTTGGCAGCAGGCCACCAAGTGAGTTATTGACCCATTGGAACCCAGCCCATTTGGATTGCCACGATTGGCTTTCTGTCATCAGGCTACTAAAACTGTGTGTTTGGGAGAGATGAAAAAAATTTTAAAAGACTAATCTGCATAACGTAACAGGTTTAAACTATCCAAAGTGACATATACATTAACATTTACAATGAGGTAGCTGAATGGCAGAAATACTGACCATTTGGATTTAGATGTATTGAATGAGTCTCTGAAATTCAATTAACTGGCCCAGATAGCAACTGAAATGCTGTTAAGCAGTACTGATGAGGGATTCCAGTAAGGGCTTTAGGGATTATTAAATAAGATGGGCAGAAGAAAGAGGAAAATACACAAGAGGTAGGCTCAAGTTCCAGTTCAGATGCTTATTAGCTGTGCAACCTCATTTCATATGATTTTTTTAGAGGGATACATTAGATAATGTGAGTCAAAGTATCTAGGACGGTACTTGACACATAGTAGATTTTCAGAAATGTTCTTTCTCTTTCTTCCCATAAATCTTAGAGTTGTGTTATTCTATGAAGAGCCAAGTTTTGAAGATCACTTTATTCTGAGAAATTTTATTTAATTTATCAATTGGATAGCACAGGAATCACTCACTATTAACTTGTAGACCCATATAATTTTTTATGATCTTGTAAAACCTTTCTACTGTTGCATGATAATATAAGCATTTTAATCTATGACTTTTCTTATCTTACTAGGTTCTAAGATAATTAAACAATTATCTTTAATTATTTTAAAATTATTATTTTATTTTTAATTATTAAATATTTTGATGTGAAAGAAATGCTAGAAGTAGGATACAATTTCACTGGCAAATGAATGCATAGTTTAATTTTCTAGAATATTTACAGCTATTGTATAAAAATAATGTATTGTGTGTAAAAGTAATATTTTCTTTATAGGTTTTTATTCCTTTGTCTTATTCTCTTGGATAACGTTAATGTTTGTTCTCCTAATTTCTATAGTGGCAAAGCAAAGTATAATGAATTACCTTAATTTCATTACTGACAGTGATACATAATGGCAGCTTGTCTGTATAGGTGTGAGAGACAGGCCAGTAGCTCATAGTCCTTCTATCACATACAATTCCCTTCAGCCAGGATGGCCAATTCCCACCCAACTCAGCCTTCTTTTATGTATTCTTTGGCAACACCTATGAGCCCATCATTAAGGGACCATGGTCATTGTGATGAATAATTCCATTCAGGAAATATTTATTGAGCTCATTTACTAGATCAGAGACTCTGCTAGGTGATGAGACCATGGAGATAACCTAAGGCATAGCTCTAACCTTAAGGTGCTTCTAGCAAGGAAGCTAATGCTTTTCTATAGATAACTCTAAAACAAGATTTTTTAAAAAAGTGTCACAAGGAAGAACAAATTGCTGTTGGAGTTCAGGGAAAGAAAGGAGTGATTACGTCTAGCTGGGAGAATTCAGGAAAGGCTTCATTCATTCATTCATTCATTCAACAAGCACAGGAGCAAGACACAAAACACTGTATGCTCTCAAGGAGTTTACCTTCTAGGGGTAGGTAGACACCTAGACTAGTAATAACATTTTGGGATAAGGTTAAGTGTTGTAGATAATTGAGGTAAGAACAAAGTGCTGTGGGGGCCTATGGGCTACTATCTTTGGGGAAACCAGAGAAGTAGTCATGGTTGAAGTAGAGTCATGGTTGAATTGGATTTTCTTTAGTGATTTTATAGTCTAGTGAATGTGACTGCCATGCACATAAGTAATTCCAATACTAGATAAAAGATTCTAAGTGCCATAAGAAAAATTCAGACAAAGGGCTCTGAGGGAGGTTCAGGGGTGATAGTGTTTACTTCTACCTGGGGTCTCAGGTAAGGATTTACCAAAAATGTCAAATTGGACGTGGGCTTTAAAGGATGAGTAGAAGTTCAACAGGGAAAGCAGTGAGGGAGGGGTAAAACAGCAGGAAGAGCATGAATAGAGGCAAGGCCTGCTGCTGGTGAATCTTTTGAAGTGGCTAGAGTGGAAGCAGGCTGAAGAAAATGTAAGATAGCACCAGATTACAGGAAGTACTGAATGTCTACATGGCTCATTGGATTTTATTGAGAAGGTAGTATGTGTGTGGGTTGGTGTATCTTTCTTCTTCTAACTGTGCTTTGGGATTGAGGCAATAATAATTAAAAGTGAGGGCACTGCAATCAGACTATGTGGGTTAAAATATTGCCCCATGACTCACTGGCTTTGTGAACATGAGTGGGTCTCTTAGGCTTTTTGTTAAATGAGGATGACAATAATGCCAAACCTGATAGTACAATCAATGAGGATTGCTTTAGTTTAGTCTTATTAGAACAGTGCCTAACAAGAGGGAATATAATATGTGTCAGGTGTTGTTGTTGGTAGTAGTAGTAGCAGTAATAGTTGTGACATAATTGGTATCAACTTTAGGAAATTCTTGTGCTGTGAACTTGTACGACATACTTGGGATGACCTGACATGCCTGAGATAACCAGGATTGAACCCTCTATATTCATAGATAATCAGGATTGAACCCTCTATATAATATAGGGACTATATTAAACAAATGGTCACTACTATCCTCCTTGCACAATTGTTGAGGTACTCCTGAGTTAAAACACATAATAGCTACATAAATAGATAGGCTGGCCTCAACAGCTAGAAATGGTTTAGTCCGAATGTTGGCAGCCAAGACAATGGGGGCAACTAATAAAATGGATCCAGGGTCATCCAAACTAGAGAGTTTCAGAGAACTCCTCCATCTATGATACAGATAGCGTCATCAGGAGAGCTTGCAAACAGTATGGTTCATCTGTATGTAGTCAAACTTAAGGCTGTGTATAAAGTATAGCAATAAAAACATTTAATTCCCACGTCCTAGGTGCTTTAGTTTTCACATTTCTACCTCAAGTTGGAATTTTAATATTAAAGTGCAGCTATCAGTAAGTAATACTAAGTGTTCCTGTAGGGGGCTTGTTTGCAAGAAACAGGCACAGCCTGGGAACAATGATCTGCAAGGCTCTGGAAACTGGTTTTTTTATTTTTGTTTTTTGTATTGAGCCTCTTTGAATTTGTGGACACACTCAAGTACAGCTGCATTTAGCAGCTGGCACATGATTTGGTACATTGTCATTATGTGCCAAACTGCATATTCAGCAGATGGATGTCATTGTAAACATGATTCTTGCTTATGGATTGACTTAACCTTTGGTTCGTTTAATCTGGTTCTTGGTCATCACTAAGCCCACCGGCTGCTGTTACAAGACAGAAGCATAAGTGCTGGAAACGACCACAAATCCCCTTTCTCAAATGGCTTTACCACAGTGAGCTCAAAGTTTCCTTTGCAGATTCACAAGCCCCTGGAAATTTCTGAGACATCGAGCAATTAAAATGGACCTCTTTTTGAGACTTCTGTGGCTTACACTCGAAAAACTCTATGCAAATATTGTTTCTGCAGGCCCAATGATTGGGCCTCATACTGAAATAGAAACATAATGTGTCTTAATCAAAAAAGGATTTAGTAGCTTGTGGCAGGTGTTCTGCCAGTAATTACACAGCTCTTCAAGGTTTAAGCGTTAAATATCTTCTGCCCAATTTATACACCTTGCTCAGAAAATGGATCTAAACTAACATCCTGTCTTTGATAAACATTAATTAAAACTTTACCTAGAAAAAAATGTGTTTGCCTCCTTAGAATTTTTTTTCTTGAGAGGGGATGTTTCGGGCGGCTCATGCTTAAAAGACTTCCCATGCAAGTTTCCTAGAATAAAGGTACCTGTGGCAAATAGAGACTTTCAAAATCATTCATAGAATAGAAGTAGAAAAGTAGAAATGAAAGAACCCAAGTTCAGACGGGTTAGGCTCTGAGAATAGAGCGTGGCACTACTTGTACCTTGTTTCTCTGAAAATAAGACAGAGTCTTATATAGGGCTTATTTTCAGGGGATGTGTTATTTTCCCCTCAAAGCCTCAGCTTGCAGCACGCACAGGATGGCTGGGACCTGACAGGGAGAGCTGACTTTGTTGGTGGGGCTGCCCACACCTTTCCAGTCACCTCTGGGATAGTAGCTGTCACAATGGGGCAGATGAGAAGGGCTGCTCATATTCTTGACCACTCCGTGAGGAAATGCATGGGTTGTGTAGATACACTACCTAGCCACGCCCATCACTAAGTCTTATTTTCCGGGTTGGGCTTATATTGCGCAAATGTTTAGAAATCCTGCTAGGGCTTATTTTATGGGTAGGTCTTATTTTCGGGGAAACACGGTATGACCTTGACCAAGCCAATGTTCGGACTCAGTTTCTTCATCTGAAAAAATAAGGCAAAGAAGACCTGCTTACATCACACCATTGTGGTGAGGAAGGAATAATTAAAATACTGTACTTTGGGAAATGTTTTGTAAATTGCAAAGTGCTATTATTCAAATGTAAATAATTACTATTATAATCATTA